GTGTGAAGAATGATTAACAGATTGGCGCTAGTCTCATGTTCGTCTAATACTCTCATTTTTCAAAAATTGCAAAAACTCAATTTTTTTCAGTGTTTCTACTTTTAAAATTTTAAATAAAACGCAGAAAACTACCGATGAGGCACTAGACTGGGTCCTCCAGACAGAGGCTGAATTCGACCTAGCTAATCTCGCTATTGCGGAGAATAGACCTCCGTCTGGTCTCGAACCCTGGTATCTCCATGAATCGATACAGGCACTGCGGCAGTTCTGGCTCGGACATTAACTCACCCCGTGATCCTGGGAGGGCGTCAAAATCTGCTTGATGTGTTTGACACCTGTAAGTCTGTGGCGCCAGCGGAATGATATTCAGGCCCTCATCACTGGTTCCCCTGGCCATTTTTCTTCCTCCGCCGGAGCAACACACAATGCCTAACGGACCGCGCGGGCAGGAACCTTCCCATTGCCTTCCTTCCAACGGATGCCAATGACCGAAGCAGCTGAAGCGCAATAACACCGTAATCAAATCGCTGGCCAACGTAGCACAGAGCATTGACTGGTGCCACTGCAGTGCCTCCCATCGGGACCTCCTACGGTTCGAGTCTCGACCGTGGCAGAATTTTCATCGCAAGCTTCTCAGCTCCGTCGATTCAGCCGCTATCTGGAGGAGAATTCTATCGGCCGGATGTTCTGATCGGTAGTTATCCGTGGTTTCTCTGATCGACACCAGGCGAATAACAGAGCAGTATCCTCACAAACGGGCCACGGACCGCGCGCGATCTTTTCTTCCACTTCCTTGTCCTCTCCTCCCTACTTACACACATACTCATATGCAATACACTACCACACTTCTCGCCAGATCAGTCGGGAGCTTGTTTAGGGTGGGGCGGTGCCCCGCTGGTGGGAGATACATGGCTGGGGAAAATTCCGGCAAGCCGACAATTGTCGACATCGATCTAGTCAACCCGCGTGGGAAGATCGCCACTTCCTGTGACGAAAACATGCAATACACTTACGGAACTAATGACCTTAGCAGTTGTCGCGCCCGTAATCATCAATCAATCAATCGTAATCAAACCAAAAGGTGAGGCGGCGTCGACAACACATCTTTTGTAACCTTCATGCCGTTCCAGAAGGCCCGCGAAAAAGGTTTCGTAAAGCAGGTGTATTTTTTTTACTTTGCCTTTGCATCACTTCCGCAAGAAGGCAGCCCATAATAAGGAGGTACGCGAGTGTTCACATCTCACACCACAGTCAGTCGTCACATCGCGATCTTTTCTTCACTAGCATCGCTAGTGAACTTGAACTTGAAATATGTGACCTAATGAAATGCTCTTGGTGAATGTTCACTTAAGAAACCATTGATATTTGTGGCTAAATTCAATTTCAGAGTTTTTAACGTCAGACATTGTTTAGATCATAAACAAATTATTTTGTTTGATTAATATCATCCACGTAACTTCTATTCATATTCTTTTAACATATTTAGATTAATTTTCTTCTTTACTATATCTAGCCTGAAGATGGGGAAAATGAATTCGCCGAAACTTACCTCTGAAAAACTGAATAAACTCCTTATGATACGATTGTCCTGAAGATCCGAATAAACTTTTTACGATCCAAAAACTGTCGTTAAATACCATGTGGCCATATTCAATTAACAATGTCTATGTTAGTGATGGTAGAGACAATATCCTTAATTGATTTGATGGTTTAGATTGCTACGAAATAAGGTTTCGTAAGATCCATTTTTAATGCGCCTTATTTCGCAGCCGTGCGCCTCGCTGGGTGAGTGGTTTGTCTCCCGGCCATCAGACCGCGGTTGAGTGACGACCCCGCCTGACGTGCGTGGTCTTTCGAAGAACAGAAAATATACAATTGCCGAGTCGTACACAACCAGAAATGTTATTAAATGTAATGAAGATTAACGTATTGTGCATGAAACCTTAAAAATAACTTAATATATTTGTACATAAAATGTATTGCGCTAGTTAAAATCAATAAAGATTTAATGTAGAGGTTCTCTCGTTTCGCCTGCCTCTCATCAATTATCTAATGTATTCATAACCCGCAGTCTATAAAGATCGTTCATTTATTTCCTCCAGGTGTGACCATACAACTTTGACTCTTGCATTCTAAAGTACATTATAGATTAAATTTTATGTGCGTTCATGATAATTTCTTTAATGAGCATTTCATTAAAGTAATACGGAAGTTTCTGACAGTGTACTTGCGGCATGTAAGAGAACCCTCACTAAATGAAATCCTCCGAAAGTACCCGCCTCAATACGATACCATTCGTTGCTTAGACGTGGAACGCTTGAAGTCCTGAATATTACCGAGGCCTCGGGTGTCCGAAACGTAAGCGAAAAGCCGATGGCGTGGACGATCTGCTGTGGCGCTGTTTGATTTCAGGTGCTGAGGATCATTTCAGGAGGCTGAGGAGGCCAAAGACTGCAGGGAGAATGCGTGTTGCCCGCGCCAGGAAAATAAATAAATATCTTAGAAAACGTCTGGTAGATAAGCATGTACCCGGCTTCTGACGGCAGGTTTTTTCCCTTCTGGGTTTTTCCCTCGCCGTATCTAAAGATCTGTATTCCACGGCGTTGAAGCGATGGAGAGCTCATTTCGGTTCACACCAGAAATCGAAAGGTTAGAACCCGGTAGGACGTAGGGATTGTAATGGCTTTCAACCTAGCCACACAATGTATTTAATCTATATGTGTAGCAATTACTTATTAAATTAATAAATATTACATAGGCTGTTGTTGTGGCGTATCCTAGCGGTAAACGGGGCTGTGCGAATTTACTCTTATTACTCGCGCAACTTTTCTTGAACAATGGATTAAAGACATGCGGGTAGAGTGGGGGTATTAGGTACGAAATAAGTCACTACATTTTATTAAGTAATGCCAATCTATGGAAAATCACCTATGACTTCGCAATGTCCTCAATAATTTGCGTTCTAACTTTCTCAGGAGTTCGAGGTATCTGCCGTGATGGATCTTCACCTGCTACGGCCATTTCTTTAGATCTTTTGGAGAAAATCATGGACAAAAGTTTTCGTCTTCAACAGAAAATACTTCCTATTTCGCGCCAATGAAGATGTGTTTGGAATGTTGTCATCAGTGCTAGCTTTTTTCTGCAACTGTTTATTGTGTGAGAGAGGGAGAAGCAAGATCATCGTTCAAGAAAAGTTGCGCGAGTAATAATTTCCAGTAGGCTAACAAAGGTGCGGTGCCAACTGCAAAAGTCCAAAGCCGTTTCGGTTGGCCGATAGTTCGGCCCTTGGGGCGGGTGAACCAAGAGGAGAATCTCCACGTTTCTGAACATTGCTCACAACAACACAAAAAATAATAATTCGCGGTAACTCTATGTAACTGACCACTTTGTTAAGAATCCAACGTCACTGCAGTGCAGAGAGAACACCAAAGAGGGATGCCAGAATAACTAGTCAAACACAATTTTTAATATTCAAGAATGATACATGCATTTAGCAGTATGATCAATCATTTCCAGTCAGTTTCTGTTGAAGTATTATATTTTTTTCAGTTATGACAAGAGCATATTCATTTTGAACATTTTCTGCACATGAATTCCGCGGGAACACACATGGCCACGTCATTTCTTGGAAGAATTAGTTCAACATTCTGTATTTTGTTCCGAATGCTCAACTTTTCTCTGTATTCACAGGCACTAAAATATAACTTCGATGCGAGTTTCAGGAGGCCTGGACTGTATGAGGAAAACTGTCGTTTCGGAAAAGGGATTACACTTTGCGACGAGTTCGAATCGTTTTGTAATTGTCCGCAAAACGTTGAAAGACGAAAAAAACACTTAGGGTTAAGAAAGGTTCTGATAATACAAGCCCCAAAACGATGAAACCGTAAGCCCTTCCCAAACAAAGAGAGAAGAACTTGTAAAAAACAACTATGCAGCGTTCAGTCGTTGACCCAACCCGTTGGCATACCACTATTACAGAGCGCAGCCTACGCACCATTACAAAAGCTGCCTGGTACTTTGCAAATGCTCAGTTACGTAATGAACTATGCAATACACCAATTCCCATCCCCGTTTCCCTCGTGTTCATAAAATTTTATTTTAAAATATTGAAGATTCCTTCAGCAGCTCACTTTCACATGCGTAAGTAGAATACTAACCGCAAAAGGTTAAAAACAATGTCACCCAGGGAATTTTTCACCTCCCTTAGATACAAACCGATGACTTTTCTCATTATTAACTATGTAACCCCAATATTGTATTATAAAACTAGAATTTTGTATACTATGTATCTGATTATTATTATTATTATTATTATTATTATTATTATTATTATTATTATTATTATTATTAAAGCTATAACATCTCTTTACAGGGCAGAAGTACCCCACCCATTGGTGGCATTGCTCACTAAAAGAACTTGTCAGGTGAGCTAAAACTAAACGAAGTTAAATTGTTTTCTTATTTAACATTCACAATTCTATTTTGTAGATATGTTGTCTACTACTTCTTGCCAAAACCTTCAATTCTTTCCGTAGCACTATATTCACTGTTAAACAATAATTTGCTAGACGCAATTGTACGTTTCACACTCACTTATCCGTGCGATAGTGAAATATCGGCTGTTATTATTACACAAACCTCAGACAAGTAAATCAATTTTTTCCAAGACAGTGTCGTAGAGAATGCAAGCCCAACATTAAGAGAAAATGTTTCAATAGAATACTTGACAACCATGTCCGAACCAGGACACAGAACAAACCCCATACTCGCGAGAAAGTCTTTAATCTATTAGAATTTCCACACAGCGTAGGGTAAAACGTGATTAATAATCACGGAACCACTTGTGTGCGCTGAGTAAAACACTGCAACGGCGAGAATATACTGAACACACAAACACTGCAACACAATCCGGGTCCAGTAGTAAATGAAACAAAAAACCGGCGGCGCACGTCCCGCCGATCCACCCAACGGAGAAGGCGCGGCCCAGCGAAATCACTTACTGCGCGGAGCCGCGCGTCTCGCCGCAGTCTGCTCCTCCGCTTCGCGCCGCCCCGCGCCCCGTAGCTGCTTCTGCACTGCTGCGCCGGCCGCGACTGCGCCTCCGCCGCTGCGCCTCAGCGCGCCCCGCGGCGCGTGGGAGACTCCCACCCCACCCCCTCCCCTACCACCCCACCCCCAGCCAAGGCGTGCCTTCTCAGGAGAGGGAAAGGAAACACAATTATCCCAGCAGAACGTATAACGCAGACGAAACTTGGAACTTTTAAAAAAAATCGTAAAGAAACATGGAAGAAGAAAAAAAAGTACCAAAAAGGCGGGCATTCAAAATAGATCAGCATTGCCGCTGTCTCTGATTGGAAGCATCTAGGGTTCGAGTATCGATGAAGGATTTTCGACACTAGCTAGATAGCTAGGCCGTGTTCAGCCGCGCTGTCTGGAGGGCAATTCCAGCGACCGACTGCTCGGATCCGTGGTTCCGAGGATCCGTTTTCCGTGGTTTTCCGTTCTACACCAGGCAAAGACGGAGTAGTACACTAAGAAATGGGCCACGGGCTACGCGCGATCTTCCCTTCTTCCTTGTCCTATTCTCAGCCTTTACTCACACACACACACACACACACACACACACACACACACACACACACAAACACGCACTACGTTACCACGTCATAAAGGTAGACCATCCGGGAACTTAAAGTTTGCCCCGGCTGGGGCGGTGCCCCGCCTGTGGGAGGTACCTGGTTGGGGAAAGACCGATAGCCGACCGTAGGTCGGCACCAGACCTTATCATGCAGGGGAGGAATCTCCATCAGTGATCAAAACATTCACAACACTCACAGGACTAATGACAGTAGAAGTTGACGCGCTCGGAAACGTGACTCAACAAAAAATACTCTCAGCGACAGTGATTTCTTCAGCGAGTAGCCGGGGAGTACAAAAACACGCGTAACACAAAATACCCTGATTGTTAAAAAATATCTTTCACAAATGATATCTGTAATATAAATACACCCGACACTATGATTCCTTACTGCCAACGAGCTTGTGATGTTAATGCTTAATTAATGTGACATTTGTCCCTGATTTGTACACAGAATGAGCACTGGCGTTTGGCGGAGATACGTTCTGATGCACTGACAGATTTCGTAAACTATCAAATACCACTACAAAAAAGAGGAACAGTCTACCAATATATGTAACTAAATTATATGCAACTTTCCACATTTTCAGTAGCAAAAAGTGATAATATTATACCCCTGTACAACCTAGACGTTTATGGTATATTGTAGCGTCATAGGCTCGAGTTCTTGTGCTGAGAGAAGAGCTTGCAAGGTAGAGACACGAGGAGAACTAAAAATAGCCATCCGAACAAAGAGTGCCATGAAATAATTATATTAGTGGTCATTGCTAACAATATTGTGGCAATATTGTTGGCAATGATGACTCATGTAATTATTTCATTGTAAATGCCAACGATACCTCACCACAATACCAAAGAGTGTCACACCAGACCAGGGGACTTCTACGAGGGGCGGTGGCTCGCTCCAATATGCCGTATGCAAGAGACAACGGCGGTTAGACCGCGACTCAGAGCAGCGCATGAAAGGAAGATGACGCACGAAGTCACGTGATTCGACCCTTTATAAGGCCCGTAGCAGGGCCTCGCGTTAGGAAACGAATTTGGTTCCTTCGCAGCTAGTCTGCAGAAACTTTGTCCTCCTAGGGTATGCCCGAGGTGGGCCTCCGATGTGTTCGGATGTGGTTGAGCAGTTCTCTGCCACTGCAGGGCAGATCGTATGTGCACCTGCCCCAAGGCACGTCCGATTCCGGGTTGCGGGTCGACCTAGTTGGCTAGTCACTTTCGCAGCCGCAAGGCGTGTGCTGAAGTTAGTCAGTTCGGACAAACACTTTTGAGCGAGGAACCCGAAAATATTATAATAAGTTATATAAAATAAATTGTATATAGTCGACTAGCGTTTTCGTGAAGAACATGCCTACCCACGACGCCACACTATATTGTACCGTCGTGCCACGCTCAACACAGACAACCACGTGGAAATCTGCGAGCACCGCCGGATGTTAAACAAAGGGCGAAGTGATGACGCACTGGGACTTTCCGTGGACGTAGCGGGCCCAGAGCGGCTTTAAGGAGGCGGCAATGGGGGCGGCGGGTAGCGCCAAAAGGGCCTATATAAGGCCAGGAGAACAATTCCAATCTTCTTGTTCTAGCGGCGTCGGCGACAGGTGAAGCGCGTGTCTGTGCGTGTAGGTGCACTAGGGCGAGGGGCCGGCAATTCAATGTCCTGACTTGCGAGACGCGTAGATGGTCTCAAAGTAGAGCGGCTTCATACAGGGAACATCGGTGGTATGTTGCGGTGTGGTAGCCGTTCTTAAATTCTCTCTCCTTGTAGTGGGTCTATTTATTTAGTTTATTGTGAGCAGGGTAGTTGTTAAATTGAGACTACGGTCTAGATTGTTAATAAATCTATCGTTTTACAAACCACTCTCGTCTGCGTTCGATTACACCCGTATGACGCCATATTCTGACCAATCCTGTCTAAGCTCTCTGGCAGGGAATCTCGCGCGGGTGCGCAGTTGTTTTCGGTGCCACGTCGCGAGCCAAGTGGCGCGGAGGGGAGTCGGGTGGTGCCAATTGGGTCTCGGCTTCGTCGCGGGGGATTCGGGGGACAGAGAGGGGGGGACCTGTCCCGCCGAGGGAGTGACGTACGACTCCGGCATCCGCCCGGGCAGACGGAGAGCTCCGCGCTGGCGAATGCTAATGCGCCGTCGACAACAAAACATCCTCGTCGCCAAACACCGAGGCTCAAAATGTCGATGTTAATCACAAATCGCTTGAAACCATCGATGTTTTTAAACATCGATATTTTAAAGTTGGTTTGGTCACCTCTAACCTCGTGCTCCACAGTTTAAATTCGCAGCTGTCGTGCATATTCATGCATAATTAAAATGCAACTGAAAACATGGTTAAAAACGCCTTTTCAAGAGCAAAATACGACGAAACGCGAAGGAAACACTAGAGCCTCTGGATCATCTGAGGGGAGGAATTGAAGTTGGAACAAACCACGAACGTTTGTATCGAACACATAAACAATTCTATGAACAATTACGTATTAATTAGTTCATATTTCAACTTTTACAAAATAGTGATTGGGGGGGATTTTTCATCCACAAACAACAAAAAAATATCGAGCCCGAAACATCGATCTTCAAAAACCATGGACATCGATGTTTAAAACGCATCGATGTTTAAAACATCGATAGCTTTATAGACATGGATGTTTTGAAAACATGCGATCTCGATGTCGCATTCCTACTGGCGAACGCGAGCGATGGGTGTTTGTAAGCGCGCCTCACCATCCTCTTCGCGCCTGGCAGCTGGGCTTCCGCCGACGCAGCGTCGCCGCGCGCGCTCTCACTGCAGGGCCTCCGACCGGGAGGTCCGAGGTTCGAGTGCTCACGGGGGCGGCATTTTCGACTCTAGCCTCATAGGTATATCGAGGTCAGGCGCTGTTTCGAGGAGAATTCTATCGGCCGGCTGCTCTGATCGACAGTTTACCGTGGCTTCTCCGATCAGCACTAGGCGAATGCTGGAGCAGTTCCCTAACAAACGGGCCACGGACAGCGCGCGATCTTTTCTTCTCAATCCTTGTCCAATTCTCACCCTTATTTCCACACACACACACACACTAACATGCAGTACACTACCACATATACCAGGAGACGGTCGGGAGCTTAGAGCTTTTCGCGGCTGGGACGGTTCCCCGCTGGTGGGAGATACCTGGTTGGGGCAACCCCACTGGGCGACGGAAAGACGGCGCCGGATCTCACCATATGGCGAAGATAATAATAATAATAATAATAATAATAATAATAATAATAATAATAATAATAAGAAGAAGAAGAAGAAGAAGAAGAAGCTGGGGGTTATGATTGTAATATGAGAAGGATATAACTGTATGGAATAGTATTAATTTAGATGCACAATCATTTCTCGTCTCCCCTGCCTAGCAAGAATTCCTACGAGCTCCGTGGCCTCGCGACAAGTCAGATCGGCGCGGCTGTTTCGGTCTCTTTCGGAGGCAGCCGGCGCGATTTCTCCTCGGCCATCGCCCATCGCCCACCGCTTATCGCCCATCGCGCCACATCTCCTCGCCCCTCCCCAGCCGCGCCGACTCTCATGGCCCCGTCTCCCGCTGCGCTCCGCTCCGCTCTCCGCCCGTCCACCCGCTCTTCAAGCCTCTCTCCACGTCAGGCGCGTCAACCCGCGCCCGCACAGGCTCCTGGCCCGCCTGGGGGCCCGGCGCTCCTTCCCCTCACTCCGCACTCACTTCCCCTTCAAATACAGAAAGGGGTGGACACGCGCAAGCTAATACGGTATGAGGCAGCTTCGTCCGAAAACATTTCTGCCAGATTTCTTCTATCATTGTATGATTTTTATGTTCTTCACTACTTATTAACATTTCGTAGACGTCGGCTGAATTCGACTAAGCTTTTGTCGAAATTCTAAAGCAGGTCATGTAGGCATGGTGATGAGCGTACGTCATGCTCGCCAGATGGCTCCTTAACCCCCAGGCCGGATAATAAACAAAAAAACAGGCCCAAGCCTCGGAACACACGTAGCTGGCAAAAGTCGAAGTAATTTGACACAATGCCAAATACTTACATTCATTACTAAAGTCGCATTGGATATAATATTTAATAATATCTTCACAAGCAAAGTTTCACAGTACAGATAAATCTGCTTTAATAGATAAGTAACTACTTCGGCACGCTCATGTTTCGTTAGATCATTCAGCTGATTCTATTGTAATCTTTATTATAATAACACATGATTTAGATTCTTATAGTACCCTTTAATTTATACACAAAAAATTAGTGCCATTTAGTTTCTCTCTCAAGTAATGAATCAGCTCCCTTCATTACTTTCACCCAAGTCCGTCATACTATTTTATAGTATCTTTACATACATATCCTAAATACAAGTACATAGTACATCAACCCCATGGAACATGATATTACATAACTTGCTGCATGCACAATGTATCAAACAGTCTAGACAACAGACGAGACATTTGATCGTCGGTACTAGTGAAGAATCATCAAACAAATCATCAAGCAAGAAGTTTTAGATTTTTTGACATCATATGATGATTATGTATTCAGAGTTTTATTATTATTAAGTGGGAGGCGGATTTTGATGCTCTAAAACAGCACCAAAAACGATCCATAAAATGCTGATAAAATGTTTTCAGCGTTTGATCGACGTTTGAAAACGAAAATCAGCGTTTGAAAAATGCCACCGTTCTTGTTCACCGGCAGCCATTTTGCCATTTCAGAGGTGCCATTGCAGACTCTTACAGACGTTCGCTTGTATAAAAGAATAAAGTCGTATCATAGACCTAAGGTAATTTCAAAGCCCGTCACGTTACAGATTCATTGTGTTGCTACTTTCAAACATAGTGCCAAAACTCCTTATTACCAATGAACATGTACATGGCAAACGACATGTCTACCTCAGGGTGGCCACTTATATCCTGGGACAAATTTCCCTGACTATTCCCAGTTTTCCATTACTTTTTCAAAAACTTATCCTGACGATATTTTTAATTTCGCACTATTTAAAGAAAATATTAAAGCCAACCTGGCAGCTCTCTGATTCCTCCACGAGAAAGTATAAATTAACAATATTTCCTCAACTAATAAAAATTGAACAAAAATAATTGAAGGGAAATTTAGGTCAATAATGAACGTCATTTGAAGTGTCAACGTTTCAGACTTCATCAGAGCTATAACAGATGGATGTTGTTAGGAGGTGGATATGTTCTAGAGATTCGGAGTAAAATGCCGAGTCCATAATTATTCAAAATTGTAATATAGGCTATTATTAAAAGAGAGTTAAATTGATTGTACCCAGTGAATAGGGAACATCTCTTTAAGTGCCCTGATGACCCTTACATCCCTTTATCTTAACTCTGATGAAGGCTGAAACGTTGTCACTTCAAATGACGTTTATTATTGACTTAAACTCAAGAAAAGTTCCCTACAATTATTCAACGAGATCAAGAAATCAAGCAAGTACAAACAAATTATACTGTACTAATGTTTTTGAGGAATAAATCTAGCTTTAGGGGAGACAGGGGCAATGAAGTCGTAGGCTTCCGCGACCAGAGACAGGGTCCGATCCGAGACAGGGGCAAGTTCTGACATCGAGTTTACTGGCAGATCCAAGTCCGAACACAGCTCGTGATTATTTGTTATTATAACCACTGAAAAAACTTGGGTGTTACTGTATTTTTATTATTATTTTATTTTTGCTTTTATTTCCTTCCAAATTTTTATTTTACTATTATTATTATTATTATTATTATTATTATTATTATTATTATTATTATTATTGTTATTATTATTAAGTCTTGAGACTCTTAGCAATATAAATATGCACATATGTAGAATTATGCAGTAGATATGTCTTAAATTCAGTATCTAAGGTTAGTTTAGCAATGCTGCAATGCTGAGCTCCTACTCACCGGAAACTTGCTGGAGTGCGTGTGCAGGCCGTGGTGCGGGGCGGCGTCGGGCGCCTGGCCCGGGATGGGCGGGTGCGCAGAGGGCGCGGGCGGGCCGGGGCGGGGGCGTCGAGGGGCGGGAAGGGCGCATGCGTAGGGCGGCGGGGGGCTGGGCGCGGCGCCGCCGCTGCCGCTGCCGCCGCCGGGCGGGGGCGGAGAGGGCGGGGCGGGCGGGAAGGGGGCGGGGATGCTGCGGGGCGAGGGGGCTTTCGGGGGCGGTGGGGGCTTGTAGGGGCTCTGGAGCGCCTGCTGGGAGGCGGCGTCCGCCGGCCCTGCAACACACAGCACACAAAGCGCATAGTAAGAACCCACATAATAAGGTCCCGCAGCACTCAAAGCAGAAAGAGCTTAAGTACTTTAACAAAACACACGAAGAGTGCCGCAGGCAAAGTCTCCAAAGCACAAGGTGAGCGTCTTAGGATAATGCCTCAAAGCACACAGCACATAAAGGACAACATGAGTGCTTTAGGCAAAGGTCTCAAAGCACACAGCACGCAAAGCACAAAGACCTCAAGCACACAGTGTGAGCTTTGGGCAAAAAGCACAAAGCACAGAGCACGCAAAACGCTCAAGCACTATATAATCACTTTAGGCAAGGGTCACAAAATACACAGCACAAAGCACAGAGCACGCAAAACGCTCAAGCACTCGGTGATCGCTTAGGCAAGAGTCACAAAACACACAAGTGCTTTAGACTAAGGTCCCACTGCACACAAAGAGCTCAAGTACACAAAACAACCAGTGACTCTCTTAGACAAAGCCCCCAAAGCATAACGTGAGTGCCTTCCGCAAAGATCACGAAACACCCAGTACACAAAGCACAGGATGAGTGATTTAGGCACAGTTCACAAAGAACACCCCACACGCTTAAATATTCAGGCAAAGGTCAAAGCGCACACCACACAAAGCTATCGGCGACACCTCACAAATAACACAATGCTTAGGCGAAACACACAAAGAGATCACAGCGTAAGTCGCAAGCATCGACAATCCCAACGCACAAAAAGCACACCGCACAACAATTTAGGCGACACACAGGCGCCTTGTTGCAACGTATTGTTTTTGAATGTGAGTGTGTGTGTGTGTGTGTGTGTGTGTGTGTGTGTGAAGGGCTTTTTCCTGTAGGTTCATCCCTAACATTGTATATTTGAGATAAAACATTCATAAAAGTGAAGTTTGTAATCTGCAGTCATTTCACTCTAATAACATTTTTCACTTCAAGGGACAGAGTAACTGGGGAGAACGAAAGATAACAAAAAATATCAGAAAGTACACGTTGTCATGTCGACACGAACATCCGTGAGTGTTGGTGGCACTTCAACTTTCCCGCATCGTTGCGATAGGCCGCACGTCGTTTGCTATCGCGAGCCCCCGGCGAGACGTGCAAAGTGCGTGCACATTTCGTCTCACGAGATAGCGATGATATAACGCGATAAAACTACCGTGCAGAGACTTTGCATAGATAGAATTAAAGGCTTCTAATAACAGCGTGGAGATACTACACGCCGACACATCGACGTGAGAGGTGGGAATACTCAGTTTAATTTCAAATCTGCTCATCCATCTATAAAAACTATCTCGAAAATGTATCTTATTTCAAAATCAATCTTCCATGACTGACTGTTTGATGATTCCGGGCGCGTTAACTTCTGAGGTCATTAGTCTCGCAAGTATAATGTACTTTTCCCTCGGAAGGTGGCTGTGATATTCCCCCGATAAATGACGAGATCCAGCGCTGATCTACCATTACCTAGCGAGGATTTCCTCATCCACGTATCTCCCACCAGCGGAGCATCGCCCCAGCCGGGACAAGCTCTAACCTCCCGACAGGTCACGTGGCATGTGTGGTAGTGTAGTGCTTATTAGTGTGTGTGCGTAAGGAGTGAGGGTAGAAGAATGAAAGATTGCGCTTGGCCCGTTGCCTGATTGTTAGGGTACTGCTCCGGCACTCATCTGGTGTTGATCAGAGAAACCGAGGAAAACTACCGATCAGAGCAGCCGGCCGCTCTTCCAGTCAGCGACTGAATACGACCCAGCTATACAGCTAGTGTGGACAATCGATCTTCCATGAGATTATTAGTGCCTGTACGTGTGTTGTTCCGACGTAAGATACTATTTTTACGGCATCACCTAATATACACTTATATACTTTAGTCTTATGCATTTACCGGATGGCAACGAATCTTCGAGTTTCGCGATTTCCATAAGAACGTTTAGTGAAACTACAATTTGCGAACTTCTGGCAAAAACACTAACACTCTCACACTCAGACAATGAATCCATATTACCCAAAGCCCTGCAGCCGATACCAAAATTACCCCGATAAGTACTCGAATGATCCGTCCATAGTTAAACGTTATTCATATTCATCTTCACATCATCAGGTAAAGTGTGATTTAATCGGGCAATTCTAACAGTAGCCATTGCCCGGTTTTTGGACGTGACACACACTCGCAGAGAAAAAGGCTGAGACGACTCAGACCAACAACGTGGCCGAGAGGTCGTGGGTTCGAATCCTGACGGTGATGGATTTTCGGTTCTGGCTAAATAGCTAGCTCGGATACGGTTAACGTATGGAGCAGAATCATAGCGGCTGGTTGCTCCCATGGTAGATTTCCTTGGTTTCTCCAATCGAAACCAATCGAATACTGGAGTTCTACCTTAACAAATGGGGTACGCACCCCGCGCGAACATACTCTGCCATTTCTCATCCTTATGACTTCCTCATCTCGTACACGGATTTTTCTCACCTACACGCGCTCGCGCTCTCACCGCCACGCTTCGGGAGCTTAGAGAGTCCCCCGGAGGCGGCGGTGTCTCGTTCGCGGAAGCACCTAAAGGAGCAAACCCCGCGCAGTACTACGTGAACGAACTGTCACTGCAGTGCCTCTAACCGGAGGTCCTAGATTCGAGTCTCGGCGGAAGTAGGATTTTCGACACTAGCTTGTCAGCTGGATCGAGTCGAGTCGCTATCTGGAGGAGAAGTCTCTGCTCTGATCGGCAGTTTTTCGTGATCAACACCAGGCGAATGCCGGAGCAGTTCTTTAACAAACGCGCGCAATACTTCCTTCCTCTTCTTTGTCCTAACCTCACCCACACACACACATTAACATGTTATACACTTCTTCGCATGCTGGGAGATCGATAGGAAGCTTGGAGTTTGTCTCTGCTGTGGGGAATACCTGGTTGGAGAAACCTCACTAGCCAACGTTAGTTCGGCGCTGAATGACGCCATTCAGTGTAGGAATATTTCTGCTCCCTCCCGAGAAAAACATTCAATACACTTATAGAACTAACGCCCGGAATCACTACCAACCAATCAACAGACCTGAAGGTCTGCGCAGGTTCTCGAATTTCAGCAGGAAAGGAAAACTACAATCTCCTGAGATATAAATGCACCACACTTACGGGACTAATACCAATAACAAGTCCAGACACCCGATACACGAGCCCAGACATCCGAAATAATTAACGTACATAAAACATTTCACCTAAATCCACAAACATTACGAAAATGTTGTTCCTTGCGTTTTTGAAGCCGCCTTGAGACACATCCTGCAGCCCGGGGGGGGGGGGACGAGGAGGCACGTGGAACGCTTGCTGCCGGGGCGCGACGCCGCTCACGTTCGTCCCCCCGAGGTCACGCTCCCCTGCCCCCCCCCGCCCCCGTCGGGCGCCAACCGCGCCAGGGCTGCGTCCACGCCGCCGCACGTGCCGTGCAGCCAAATCCTCCCCCCCCACACACACTCACACACAGCCCGACAAATTCTTTCCACGGAAGGCTCGCTTGGTAGCGACCAGGACTATATGCGTGGGAGTATAAGTAGTCTTTGCTTGATGCATCATCGGGCCAGAGAGATTCGTCACGTCATTAACCAGACGTTCACGCAACCCCCCGGCGAAGCGTCACAATCGCTAACACCCGCAATTTTCTCATTTGTTCTCAGCAAATTAAAACAATTATTCTCACTGACTTCGTTAAAACTAGGCAATCAGTACAAAACCAATTTTAAGGGGAGTCTGACAGTTAAAATAGGAAATGACATTTTGACATTTGACCAATGACAAATGACATTTTTAAAACTTTGGCTACACTGCGAATAATACTTCTGTCGACTCGACAGCTGGGAGAGGGGGAGAGCGTTTACTCGGGCGGTAGACACGTGGTCGTTCTTGCATCAGAGCAGCTGTTGAGGCATACATGTTTTATTGTATTTGTAGTAGAAGTATAATAATAACACTAGTTTATTTCATGAAGTACTGTTACACAAATTTACCGTAGTTCCTTCCACTAATCCAGACAATATCAAAGAATAACTTTTTGCGTAACACGCGTAAAGCAGGTGAAAGGTAATTACAGCGAGAGGAGCTTTTAGAAGATTTATAGTATTATGAACGATTTATAAGAGAAAAGTATGTAAACTGAAGCAATTATAAACAATTGCAGTACTTTTTGAAGTTACTGTAATTTACGTACGTTTTCAAGGATACGTCCTACCGAATACATTAGCGTAACGATACAAATCAGAAATGTCCTGTTAGGTGGATGTACGTAGTATATATTGTTTCATAATTATATCAGCCTTTAAGTATTATCACTACAAATGTAGTGTTATTATTTAAATATACAAAACAACCAAACACGTAATGGCTTCTTCAATTCTCAGTTGCTTCGCTCTAAGAGAATTCATTTTTTTAGTAAACGTCGGCAACTCTGAAGTGACATCACAATTCGAAGCGTCTGATCGGAGAACGGAACCCGCTCTCCCCTGTCAACCGGAGCTGCCAAGTGGGCAGAAGCACATTCCCTGGCCGGCGGCGTTGGCTCCGCGTCAGCTTTGCTGTTATCATTGGAGCGCTGCTATCGCCAACGCTTCGATTGATAACCGTTTCCGAGCACGTCAACGGGTGTGGCCATTAGACCCTCAAGTGTAGTGCACGCTAAATCTCGGGAGGTGGCGGTGTTCCTGTTCCACTGGAAAGCGATTTTGTTTGTTTTATTGGTTGATGAGGGAATCCTGGCGCGTCAAGTGCTAAGGTAATTAGTGCGTACGTGCAATGCAAGTTCCCCCTCTGCAAGTGGCAGAAATCTACCTCCGCTGGATGTCGACGCCGACGTACCTGTCGGCTAGCGGTATTTTCCTCATCCAGGTATCTCCCTTAAACGGGGTACCGCTCGTACCGGGGCAAGCACCATGCTCACG